GAAAGAGGTTTGATTAAAGAATAGAGGATAGTTCAGTTTTGATGCTGCTTTCAATTAACGCTCACTGAAGAGTCTTCAGATGTTAAGAACTTTTGGTCACTGAGAACTGGGGTCAGACCAAAAATGGTGGTATAGATGCAAAAGGCTTAAGAGGCTAATACCAATCCCAGAAGCCATCCCCACTCCTTTTAAGACTTCTTATACTTTCTTAACCATGTGGGATGACTGGAATGTTGAAAAAAGAATTGTGGCAGTCTGAGATGGGAGACCCAGGTAGCAAGCAAATGATATTTTATTGCCTGCTAGAAGTTGGACGCTTGGAAAGAAGCTAAAAATACATCTACTGAGACTCAAATAGTAGAGAGATCACTTTCAGACACCTTCTGCCAAAAGATGGATTCCAGTTATAGTCAATCTGAATTCATTATGCTGGGTAGTTTCTGTTTTGCTTCCAGAAATTATTTCAATGCAGATAGTGCCCTCTCTTTAAACAATAATTCATTATTATTTACCATATTTTCTCGCATATATTCCGCAGGGTATGCGCGATTTTACAAAAAAAATGAATGGGTGTGGGCTATACGGGGGTGCGGACTATCAACGGACTCTTTTCCCCTGCAGGGCCCGGGCAGGCTGGGCTGCGCCACAGGCGTGGGGGCCAGGGCCAGGGTGGGCTGCGCCACCTCCCTGCTGGGCCTGGGTGGGCTGGGTTGTGCCGCCGCTGCCGACGTTGCGGAGCCTGGGGCCAGGGCGGACTGTGCCACCTCCCCACTGGGCTCGGGCAGGCCGAGCTGCGCTGCCACTGCCACGGGGGCCGGCGTATACATGGACTAATTTACAAAAATACAATTTTCAGCGGGTTATACGTGGGTGTGGCTTATACCCATGGGTGGGCTATATACGTGAAAATACGGTAATTCAGATTAAATGGATCCCCAGCCAGGAAATTTAAAAATGGAAGTGTAACTAAACACAATCAAGAATTCCATTTTCAGACAAAAATGTTCAGTGATTTCAGCACTTTTTCTTAAAGAACCTTAGAAAGACAGCTTGAGAAGCAGTTTGTAATCTAAATCTTCATGGAAAAAAATCTCCTGGGAAGTCAGCATTCTCTTACATTTGAGCAACAGTATTTGAAAGTGGACTCACATATATATAGACAATGAGATAGCTTGGAAACTCTGTGAGGAGTAGCTAAAAATCTCGTATTGATTGAAAAAAAGTCCTGTTACCTGAGATGGGCACTGTGCTTGAAGCATTTCTGTGAACTGATAAGGTTCCTTTTGCCCAATTGGTTCCATCTAGAAGGAAAAAGAATATAAGCATCTTATACTTGTACAGAAGGAACAGTAGCTCAGTGGTGTTAGTATTTAAAGTTTTTTTCAGACCCATAAGTAATGCATATCACTATGCAAAAATTGAATTTGTGGGTGACTTAAGGTTGCATTGGGTATAAGGTACATACCTTATATATTGCATTGGTACATACCTTATATAAAACTACAAAAGAAAGGAAATGAAAACAATGTCATATGATCTACCTTTTACTCTTTCACTTGGCGACAAATACTTCACCATCAGAAAAAACTACCACCACACAACACAACCTGGAATCTGTTCCTTAAAAATGCCAGGCTTCTACCTTGCCTTCCTCATACTCCCCCTGTCCATAAACAGACATCAGTGCCCTAGTCTTCATCTCTCACACTCTACTTATTCACATAACCATGAAAATCACACTGGCTAATATCTGGGGAAGTAAGTGCCAGAAAACTGTACAAGTTTGGAGGACCAAAAAATCATGGGATACAAAGGCTCAAATCCTATTTCTCCTATGAGCTGTGTATGCTCATGCGGCCGCATGACCAAAAATATGTCTCCCTTAGAAGACTGATCCAGTTCACAACTGCTCAAGTCTTCCAATCCCTAAAAGATAAGCTAACCCCTCACTGATGGAGGATAAGAAGTGTCACCACTGTGCAAATAATTCCCTATAGCACATAACAACATTTTCTTCATTTGTTCTAGTAGTGGCCATTGCTGGAGACAGAATATTGGACTAGATGAATGGATCTGGTCCTACGTGACATTTCCGATGTTCCTAAGCTAATGTGAACCATTTAATGAATAATACACATACAATACGTCCCTCTGTGGGTTTTGTATTTGTTAGAGTTCTCATCCTTCTGCTCTGTTTTTCCTATGCTTCATAAAACTGGATTTTTGTGCACTTTTTGTTACACTGGAAACAGCTGAAAACAATGGCAAAAGTATCTGTCTAATTTGTTTAATACAAACAAAAAGCACTTGGTCCCTGGGTATATTTCCAGAGACAGTTGCAAGCACTTGTCAAAATTAATCAAATCGTTTTGGTTAAATACCAAAATGGTATAAGTATGTACATAGCCATGTATTGCCTTCCTCAACTAGCTACTGTTTTTTAACAGATAATTCTCTAAATATGGAAATCTTGGCCCCAACCTACAATGAAATATTTTGTAAAGCTTCCAAATCCTTTTTTGCCTGCCACTTCATCTTCTACCCAACCAGACAGAAGTTTAATATTACTTGCTAATACTGTACTACTGACATCTTTAAAGTTTCTCTTTGGTCAGTGGGCAGGCAAAAAGCAAAGCAAAAACTATCCAGAAAAGCAAAAAAAAAAAAGCAAAAAACAAAGATGCCCTCTTAACCAGCAATATACTGCTGGATTTTATGCAACAAACAGAAGTGAAATATTTTCCACACAAGAGTGTGGGTACCTTTTAATTCTGCTCACCTTCTAACTGTGTTCAGTGTTTCCTGCTTCAGTCACCAGTATCTAAATCTCATATCAACTACCCATATTAAGGATTTATTAAATTAGCAGATATTGCTGGGTGTTATTGTGGTGAGAGTAGGAGCTTTCCTTTGCCAAAGATTTGGATCAGATAATGCAATCTTCCCATGTCTTTTAAACTCCAAAGTATCTTGCCTATCATCTGGTCTTGCATAATTGCATGCCGTCTCAATACAGATAAAGTAATATACTCAGAGATAGCTTTCTGAGAACCTCTGGCTCTAAGAAAATGCAGTTGAGAAAGAGAAGAGCAACATGCAGATGGCAAGCAAAGTGATAATGACAAAATAATACAAAAGACAAATCAAGTATTATTTTTCCTCCTTAGGTCAGTTCTTTGGCATTTCCAAAAAAGGTAAGGAGTATCATCACCATTAGCCCACCCTGAGAAAGTTCAATCTTTGACAGTAAAATTTCATTTTGCTTAGTGTCTCATACATTCACACAGTTTTCTCACGATGCTCCCAGAGTTATATCCCCAACTTATGCCTTCTGCTAGCAATGTGCAACTTTTGGTGGCAAAATTAGCAAAATTTTGTTCCTTCTCGAATACCAGAAAATTCACTATCTGCATCAGGTGAAATAATCCATCATTTCCATAGAGGTTTCAATTGAAAAATAACTGTGCTTAGCAGCTGGAAAGAGATTTCTGCCCTAAATTGGATCCTTTTACAATTGTACGACTGAAATCAGAAGTTCTGCTTTTAAACAGTCAAGTTAATAATGCCTAGTATCTAAAGCAGGGGTTGGCAACCCCTGGCATGCGTGCCAAGCATGGCACACAAGGCCATTTTTCTCGGCACGCGTTGGGGCCAGGGAGGCAGCAGATGTTTGCAGCCTCCAGGCTGCAGCTGGGTCCAGCTCTAGGGAGCTGCTGCTCCCAGCAGGCAGCTGGGAAACTGCAAGTCCTGCTGGGAGCAGCCCAGGCTTCGTGGCTATCAGCACCTACCCAGAGCCAGGGCCGGCTGCAGCAGAGAGGCTACAAACAGCTGCTGCCCCCCCGCCCCCGGCCCCCAGCCCCCGCCCCCAAGGGGGC